TTTACGGCCCCTAGTATAGAACCCTATCGTAGATCCCTTATAGAACCCTTTAAGGATCCCTTCCTAAACCCTAAACCCTAAACCCCAAACCCTAAACCCTAAACCCTAAACCCTAAACCCTAAACCCATTCTAATTATTAAGGCCCCTACCTGAGGGTTTCAGGGTCGTTGCAAGAAGGTCTCGCCGGCCCTGCTTGGGGGGTCGGGCTCGCGACAGAAAACACTTCGGAAGACGGTTTTGGGTTTAGGGTTTGAGAGTTTAGGGTTTAAGGGTTTAGGGTTTAAGGGTTTAGGGGTTTAGGGTTTAAGGTTTAGGGTTTAGGGACGACCGGCAGAATTCAACAGTGCATCTAGCCGATTCCTTTGGGTCACTTCTTATAATTTTCGTATGGTACCCCTAAACCCTAAACCCTAAACCCTAAACCCTAAACCCCCAAAGCTTTACCCACGAAGTTAGGGTTCTGGCTTAGATCCCTTCAGCCCCTTCATCCGGTCAAAGGCACAGATACCTAAGCCTTTGAATACGCCCCAGGGTTTCCGGTCTTAGAGCATGGGCTGTAGAGCTTAGGGTTTAGGGTGAGTTAGGGTTGAGGGTTTAGGGTTTTTAGACTGTTGAGGTCGTCCCTTGCGATTTTCGGTGTATGCAGCCCCAGAGCTGGAAGCGCGGATTGCAACGTAATTAAGCATGTCATACTAACGTAATGCAAGATTGGTCAAGAGTACACTATACTATACATGCCACCGAAAAAGCACAAAGTCATGTAATGTAACGTAAGATTTTTTGAAATAGGACAACGCAACACGATATTGTACAAGATAGCCCATTCTGCCATAATGGAAGTGAAGGCCCACGACCCCTAAACCCTAAACCCTAAACCCTAAACCCTAAACCCTAAACCCTAAACCCTAAACCCGAACCTAAACCCTATACCCTAAGCCCTAAACCCAAGGTCGTGCCGTGCCATTGGGATGCAAAGACGGGAAGTCTGACAGCGATCGGCGAGCCGAGTCCTGGCAGTGCTGAGATGAAAGAAGCCGGTCCCTTTAGGGCTTCATAAGGGTTTAGGGTTTAGGGTTTAAGGGTTTAGGGTTTAGAGTAAGGGTTTAGGGTTTAGAGTTTAGGGTTTAGGGGTTTAGGGTCCCATGAATTGGGACCGTAAGAAGAAGAAGAAGAAGAAGAGTTTGGGCTTTGGGGGCACATTGTGCTACAGGTATGAAAGAGGGAGAGAGAGAGTATATATATATATATATATATGTATAATAACACATACATATATATATATATATATATTTGTGCTTTCAGTCTGAGAAATTCGGGGTTTCGGGGTGCAGGGGCTCAGCTTGTGTCGTGGCCTGAAGCCTGGAAGCTCGGGTTTAGGGGTTTGGGGGTTTAGGGTTTTGGGTTTAGCGTTTAGGGTTTAGGGGTTTAGGGTTGAGGTGCAATCATGTTGTGAGTAGCGTTGTGACACAGTGTCGCATGATGTAAAGATTGGGCATAGCTACGGCCACCCTGATCACTCGAAAAAAACAAGCTTGCACTCCATCAGATTAGTTGTGGCTCATGTTCGAAGACCTCTGGATGACAACCTCTGCAACTCTGAATTCTCAGAAAACATCTCCGGGCCAATCATGTTGGACTTTGCAGCATCTCATCTGCTCGCCTCTCATGAGCTGTCGAGTTTAGGGCTTCGGATGATGTCTTGCGTAATGTAGCGGCCCTAAGAATTAGAATAGGGTTTGGGGTATATTATACTATATATATATATATTTCGGATAAAATAAAGAACTCTATAAGTAATCTAGGTAGTTGTTAAAGCCGCTGTTTTCAAGGCTTAACGACAGGGTGGTGGGTTCAGGTTCCTCAAAGTGCACTAGCGGTGAGTAGTAGTCTTACCTGACGCTTTCGAGACGCGTGCTGTCTCGTTTGCATGCATTACTTGCCAATGTGTCAGAGCAGAGCCCTAAACCCTAAACCCTAAACCCCTAAACCCCTAAACCCCCAAACCCTAAACCCCTAAAACCTAAGAGCCTGCTGCCATCCACACGCTTGTGGCGCTCGAGCCTAGGCCTAGGACCCATCCACGAATCCTGACAGAAAGCACCGGCATCTTTGACCCGAGTTCTTGGAGCCACTGCAGTCTAGCATCCTATGCCCATGGTCCCCCCGCTGCCCAACGCCTGCACCCGAGTGCATCCTGAAAGCTTGCACACCAAATCCCTAAACCCTTGGCCCTCCACCGTATTGTAGCATCCAAACACCCCAAAGTGCAACCAAGCCCCCAAAGACTTAACCCTAACGGCTCAAGATCCCGAGGATACCCACCGTGCCTGGGGCGCCAGTGGGTGTCGACGGGCAGACGTTTACTGCAGCAATCCGGATTTCAGGCCCGGGTCATGTCCGACTCTTGTGGGTTGGGCTCCGGACACGGCTTAGGGTTTCGGGTTTAGGGTTTAGGGTTTAGGGTTTCTTCAGCCGAACGTCAGCAGGGGTTCTTTGCTAAACCCTAAACCCTAAACCCTGCACTGATCTTCGGAGCAGGAATAAGTGCATCCCAGGGCTGTCGGCGTTGATTTGGTGTCCTTCAACTTTGTGTATCTGCACATCCTCGAGACTCGTGTCCGGTTGGCTTGTTACAGCTGTTGGTGACTATGGGTTTAGGGTTTAGCATGTAGGGTTTAGGGTTTAGGGGTTTTGTGTGTGGGGTTTCGATGGGACTTTTGGGTTTGGCAGGCACTTAGCAGCAATCTTTCTGGACAGTCCCTGGAAGCTTTTGTGCATGATACACCCAATGGTTAAGGCCCCATATTCTCGGAGCTACAAAGGCAGAAGTCTTGACTCCCCAATGCAAGACAACTTTAGAACAAGTAGGGTGGTCATCGAGAGAGGCAAGCTGCAGGAGTTTTTGTTACAGAACAGCGTCGGGTCTAGACTCGCATTCATGTCCGCTGCATTCTCAGCGTGGCACACATCCGTGACAGTTCTGAGTTAACACGTCCTTTACATGGCGAAACTAAACTCCATGCAAGCGAAACCCCATCCTTGCCGGAGTTGTCCAGACCCCCTCCAATAGCTCAGCAGTCAACGGAGCGCGGCCACTGAGCCCGGAACCCCAATTTCTGCTTGAAAAGAAATTAAAAGTAGCGTCACTACGATAAGTCACTGCTACTTCTGTGTAGTTTTTGTTTGTTGGGAATCTCGAAAAGGAGTCCCAGGAGTCGCAGAATTCGGCGTCGGCGTCGGCATGCCGGTTTCATGATAGGCAGTAGCAGTGGCACAGTATCGGCTAAAGCACTGTAGCAGGAGTAGCATAGTGTCTCCCTCTCCCCATTCAACCCTTAGTGAACCAGAGGGTGCAGGGTTTAGGTTATTTTTTGGGTTTTGAGTTTAGGGGTTAGGTTATTTTTGGAAAGCCAGCTCAACCTCAAATCGACAAGCTTTGCCTGAGGAGATGGTCGCTTTGTCTACGTGTCCAACCGTGGCCACTGCTCCATTACCGCCCCTCATCGCAGTTTTGTAGGGATGCCCATAGTTCCGATGAAACATCACGCAACTCATCGAACGGCATAATGATCACAAAGAGTGTGCTAATGCCATGGGCGTTGCACCGTGTCTTGCCCTGTGAAGTTGTAGCAGAAAAGCCTTGTCATGGACCTCAGCCCGAACTATCAGATGACCATGACGGCAAGATAGGGCCACACCGACCCCGGTCATGCCCCAGCCAGGGTTAGGCCCAGCCAAACGACATCTTAACAGGACGTCGGCAGTTGATGTTTTAGGGCTGAAGCCAAATTTAGTAGAGCCGATAAGCTGGCCCTACAGTACACCCCCGAACTTCCAAGCACCAAAATCCGAAAATCTACAGCACGTTCAAGGACGCCTTTAGCCTTGCCTCAAACCGTAAACCCATCCAAAACCTGAAACCCTGAAAGCTCTAAACCCCCAGCCGAAACCTTTAAACCACCCTGAACCCTAAAACCTGAAAAGCAATATTCTAAACCCTAACTTTTATATATACTCCAGGCACCCCGGTCTTCACATCCCTGCAAGAATCCGAAATAACCCTATGGCCTTATAACAAAGCCTAAAGCCCGAAAATTCATCCCAATCCCAAACCGTAAAACCCAGAATACTGACTAACAGTATTTCAAATGGCTCCCAATCATGGTATACTGATATACCCCAGAAGCCCTGGTCACGTTTATTCAAGCCTCTACACTCAAAACCCTTATCACGCCCTTATACAAACTGCAACACGACCCGATTTTAATCATGAAATCAAGAACCCCCACACCCTAAACCCTAAACACTAAACCCTAAACCCTAAACCTTTGCCGCAAATCAAGAACCCTAAACCCTAAACACTAAACCCTAAACCCTAAACCTTTGCCGCAAATCAAGAACCCTAAACATAAACCCTAAACACTAAACCCTAAACCCTAAACCTTTGCCGCAAATCAAGAACCCTAAACCTAAACCCTAAACACTAAACCCTAAACCCTAAACCTTTGCCGCAAAAACGTGAGGCCTTCCGAGTGTTAGACGATGGGCTCTTGGAGCGCAGCAGCAGTGCCTTCACGGGCCCCGGTGTGCGCGACGAGGTGGGTTTAGGGGGTTTAGGGGGTTTAGGGGTTTAGCGTTTAGGGGTTATACAGGGGTTTAGGGTTTTGGGGTTTAGGGTCTAGGGTTTAGGGGTTTAGGGTTTAGGGGTTTAGGAGTTTTAGGGCTTAGGGGTTTACGGGTTGAGGAGTCTTGAAAATGTCAGCCCCTACCAAAAAAACCCTGAATGCCAAGTCTTTTCGGTTTGGAGGGTAGGATTGTAGGATTCAGGGGTACGGTGCAACTGCGGTTGAGGGTTCAGGGCGTGGGTGTAACAATTTAGGGTTCAAGATTCGTGAGGGCACCCTAAACCCTAAACCCCTAAACCCTAAACCCCTAAACCCTAAACCCCAAACCCGAACCTGAAGCTGGAGGAGCGCGAGGTCGCATGGCCTCCTCGAGACTGTCCCAGGGACTTCGCCACACGGCACGCGATTTTGGGAGCGAGGGTTGATATGGCGGTTCGGCATACTTCGTAGTTATTGTCCCCCTACCATCCCTGATGTAAGGATAGCATAAGATCACCCACAACCCTAATTTAACTATGAAGGTTTTTGTACTATCCCATAAGGCTTTGGGGTTTAGAGTTGAGGCCTAAACCCTAAGCCCTAAACCCTAAACCCAGAAGAGGGCCCCTGCATTTTTAAAAGAACTACCCCAAACCCCTAAGCCATTTCGGTATAGAGTTGAAGAAGCAAGCCTTGAAATCTAAACTGCGGTCTCGGTCTTCCCGCGCCCCGAAAACCCGAAGGCCTTGAATTTGGGGTTTAGAGTTGAGGGTTTAAGAGTTTAGGGCCGTAGGGTTGAGGGTGGGTTTAGGGCCCAGGTCTGAGTAGTAGTCGGTTTCTGTTCAGGGGTTCAAGTGTGGGGAATTGTGGGTATAAGGGTTTAGCAGTTCGGCAAATTCCGGCTTTAAGGCTAACCCCCACCCCCCCAACACCAAACCCGAAGCCCTAAACCCTAACTCCTGAAACCCAGTGTCGTGAACACCAAACACCTCAAACTTCTTCAAGGTTGAGGTTGAGGGCTCTGGGCCCTGACTTTCGAAAAACACTTCCGGATTTAGGGTTTAGGGTGTAGGGAATTCAGGATTTACGGTTTAGGGTTTAGGGAATTCAGGATTTACGGTTTAGGGTTCAGGGAATTCAGGATGTAAACTTTAGGGTTGAGGGTTTAGGGAATTCAGGA